AATGCTCCATGTAGAAATTACCTTACATAGATATTATGCTTAAAATGCGTCGATGAACACCTTCTTACCTTGTAGCAATATTCAGACAAGTAGAGAATGCTGACATTGTGTTGGCTCAAGGTGTTATGCAGAGTAATCAAGGCTTGATTGATCTGTAGTTCTGTGGCTACCAGGAAGTAAAAGAAACGCAAAGTGTCACTTCTCCTTTTGTTGTGTTTCCATTTCCTTTCATTGGCTTGTCATCCTTCAGCTGGAAGCTAGGGAAGACCAGTCTTAACCGTGGATTCTTATATGTTGACAACATGCAAGACTCAAACATATCAAGCTGAAAGCTGTATTCATGTTCCCTTTTCCCTCAGTCTGAGGTGGCCCAGTTTTGTTTCATTATATAAAGATATTGAACTCTAATACCCCAGTGTGATCTCAGTTATAAATTAAAATAGAATATCAGGAATAGACAACAGGTCTTCCAGCGTTCTTAAGAACAGAAGACATTTTCTTATTCCTACAACTGTAAAATGGGCAATAAATAAGCTGTATTTTACATTAGTGCATAAAGGAGTAGAAGGGAATATGTGCAAGAGCAAAGAGTCAATATTACTTTGTGTTTTTTGTTATGCACTGTTTACAAGGGTGACCATTATTTCACAGTCTGCTTGAAATTTTTCTACTTAAAAATCTGCAACCTTCAAAATATTGCACAAGACGGCAAACAGAATCTGCTGCATCAGGCAGAATTGACTCTTTGATACAATTACTAGTGGCTTGATACAATTACTAGTGGCTTAAAATGGAGATAGTAAATACATTTGAGCCATAAAATTGCAAACATGTATAATTATTATTGCGATCATTATTTCTGTCTCCCTCAACGCTAATTCTACCTCTTCCATACTATGATTTCTTAAGCCAAGGAATCGTGTCTCTTTCTCTGTTCCAAGCAATTCTCTGAACTCCAATAACAACAATATTATATAAAACAATTTTTAGCTTATACAGGCCCAAATTATTTAAATACATTGTCCCTTTAAATAGCACATTACAAATCCATTCTAAAATCTCTTACACCAGCAATAATGGTAACCATACCCATTGAGGGGCAGAAGGGAGCTGTTTCAGCCCTTAGTGTCAATAGCATTCTCAAACCTAAATGTCAGGCTCTGCTCAGATGATAACCACTATCCCTTTAATATAGAGATAAGGAGCTCAAGCCACATTAAACAGTCCAATGTATTTCAATTGCTGTTCTATTTTAAGAAAGCTACTTGACAAAAGATAACACATGATCCAATCTTTATTTACTCAATCTAACACTTATTTACAGCATGAAAAAGTATAAGTATATATCTTCTAACTCAACCATACCACAGTTTAAATAGGTGCCAGTTTATATGCACAAGTGAAATGCCTACTGAACAAGACTACACCTCAAAAGTGGCTGTAAAACACAAATCCTGAGGGGTGGAAGGTGCTGTTATTTATGTTCTAGAACTATCCATGGTTGAAGTTAACGATAAAATATTGGGGCATGATATTTTCAAAGCAGCTACTTAGTGTGCAAGCATCTCAATAGATAATTTGAGGTATCCTGAGATTGTGGAAAGGTGCTATATAAATATAAATATAAATACTTTTTGCTTTTAGTTGTCGATAAGCTGGATGCACAGTTTCAGCCGCTAATTAATGCAACAATTACCTTTGCCACCTACTTCAACAGTGTGCTTATCAGCAAATTTGAGAGCAGCAATGACAACATTTGTACTGTTCTTTGCTAGAAAACAATGCATTTCACAGACAGCCTTAATGCAAGAAGGGAAATGTAAAGTATGTTTAAATTACAGATTCAAAAAAATAAAATCAATTATCATAGCCCATTTGTCGTCGTCCAACTAACTATTTATTTTGATCTGTGGCTATTATTCCTCACCTGTAATTCATTCATCACCTCTGCTGATTTTTCTTCTTTGAAAGTTTTATTAGACACTCTGTCTTTGTCAGTGTGCTCCTAACGAATTTTGACCATTTCTCCTGGAGGATTGCCAATGCTGCCCTCACAAGAATCAGTCTCTGATCATTTATTGGTGTCCTGTTACCCTATCGAGACAAACTTTTTTTTGCATGATGGCAGGTTAATATTTAAGTCACATTTCACAAGGATTCAACTAGGTTCTAATCGCCTATCAGCAGCATACCACCGTAGACTTGACTCAACACCAAATCCTGCTCAATCCCTGCAAGGTAGAAAGACACTAACTCATCATTATACAACTGGCAGCAGTGGATTTAGGTTCTTCTCAATTATCACAAAATATGTGAGCATGTCATGATCCCCCTGAACGTAGAGTGATCACATACTAACATGGTTCAATTACTTAAGTGCTTGTCTCTCTGCAAAATAATGAAGATTTTCACACACATGTATTCTAAGTAATATATCCTCTTCGCAGTTCCCTAAGCCAACATGTTTTTTCTTAGCAATTTTACAAACATTAGCTTTCAGCATTGTAGAAACTAGACAGCACACCTTGCAACATTTTGATGTTCAAGTTCAATGCCACGTACCAAGCATATTCACCTTAATCCAGGTAGACTAACAGGAGGTTGGAAGAACACAGCAAGCCAGGCAGCATCTGGAGGAAAGGAGAAGTCAACGTTTTGGGTATTACCCTTCTTCAGGATTGGATATGGGGGTTGGGGGAGGTGCAGATAAGGGGGATGGTAGTAGAGGAATGGTGGCATTAGGTGGACACTTTCTACTCCCGAACCCTCTCTGCCTTCTGCAAAGACCATTCCCTTTGCCGTTTCTTAGTTCATGCCACATTCCCCACCAACCACTCCAACACACCCCGCGCCCCCCACCCCCCTCCCTGTATCTTTCCCTGTAACCATAAAAGATGCAACACCCTGCCCACACACCACATCCCTCACCTCCATCCAGGGCCCTAAACAATCCTTCCAGGTGAGACAGGGTTTCACCTGCATGTCCTCCAGCCTAGTCTACCGCATCTGGTGCTCCCAATGTGGTCCTCTCTATTTCGGTGAGACCAAACGTAGACTCAATGACTGGCCCGAAACGGCAAGCCTAACCTCCCAGTCACCGCCCATTTCAACCCATCCCCTTCCCCTCCGACATGTCCATCCTCAGCCTCCTCCAGTGTCGCAGTGAATCAGATCTCGAATTTGAGGAAAAACACCTTATCTTCCACGCGGCCACCCTACAGCCCAGAAGACTTAATATTGAGTTCTCTAATTTCAAATAACCTTCCAACCCATCCCCCAGCCTCCTTTCCAGCCCCACCTCCTCCTTTCTATTCCATGTACCAACCCTTCCTTCCAGCTACCAACCGGATTCAGCTTTCCCATCAACCAACCAGACCATACCTACTACCAGTGTCCACCTATCACCACCATTCTGCTACCCTCTCACCTCCCCCCATTTATCTGCAGCTCCCCCCACCCCCACATTCAATCCTGAAGAAGGGTAATACCGAAAATGTTGACTTCTCTTTTCCTCCAGATGCTGCCTGGTTTGCTGTGTTCTTCCAGCATCTGCAGTTTGTCTTTACCTTAATCCAGGCAAAATATAAATACAGTAATGGATGTCTACGAAGGATTTGTGATTTTGTTCAAGTCTTTGGCTTTTATCCAGGAGAATTTCTGGTTGACAGGCCATAGTTGCAATTTGAACATTACAATCAAATCACTGCATTGTAATTCACCATCTAGAACTCTTATGAATTTCTTACCTGAAGACGTTCCCTGGCTACACATCACTGCGACGAATACCAGAAGAACAACAGACTTTTTAGCCTCCATGTTTAACAAATGCATGAGGGTCTGAACTTTGCTCTATGCTTAAAGAGGCAAGAGCAGAGTTCAGAGATTATACATAGGAAAAGTAGATATATAGCTGCAAGTAAAACCTAAGTACTTTACACAAGTACAATAAATTAACTACTAAAATAATAAAGGTCCAGTGGCCACATCCGGTGCATAAATAAAATACAAATAACTAGTGGACAGGGTCTGCAGTCCTTACATTACAAATATTCTTTCCACCTACGACATGCTCTCCATTAAGAAAATGTTCAATTGATTAATATTTCTGTTGCCTGTAAGTTGCCCAGGGTGAATTGATAAGCACAAGATAGTGTACGTTGGTCTAGATCTTTGCTGCACAATGTTGCATACTGGACAGAAACAGAGACTACATCCCGACATGATGTTATTAGAGACAACAAGGTGCAGGGCTGGATGAACACAGCAGGCCAAGCAGCATCATAGGAGCAGAGAGGCTG